CCTGGCTCCCGCACGAGGGAGAGCAATAGAGGCCTCCTCCTGCTCCTGCTTCTGCTCCTCCTCCTGCTGCCGTTCCTGCTCCTGCTCCTGGTCCCGCTCCTCCTCCTGCTCCGGCTCCCGATCCTGTTCCTTCCCCTCCACCTCCTCCTCCCCCTCCTCATCCTCCTTCCTCCTCTCCTCTCCTCCCCCGCCTCCCCTCCTCTCTCCTCCTCCTCCTCCTCCCTCCTCCTCCTCCTCCTCCTCCTCCTCCTCCTCCTCTCCTCTCCTTCTCCTCCTCCTCCTCCTCCTCCTCCTCCTCCTCCTCCTCCTCCTCCCCCCCCCCCCATCCCCCCCTCCTCCTCCTCCTCCTCCTCCTCCTCCTCCTCCTCCTCCTCCTCCTCCTCCTTCCCCTCCGAGTAGATGGGGTCGGAGGATCGCGCCGCTTCGCCGATACATCGGCGATGCGTCGGCGATGCATCGGTGATGCACCCGAGATGCATCGTCGACGTCGGCGGTGCATCGGCGACGTCGGCGTGAAGCACATCGGGCTGCACATCGAGCCGCATCGCCGGTGCGTCAACGATGCGGCGCCATCCTCCGACCCCACCTACTCGGACCCAATCTGGGAGGCCCAGGGGCAAGGGCCAGGAGAAGCGGGGCGAGAGGGGCAGGCGCCCCCAGGGTCGAATCGACGAGTCGGATCGGCGATCGAAGTGAGATTCGGGATCGGCGGGAAAATCGGCAGCCCTGTCGGGAGAAGTCGAGTCGGCGGAGATCGGCGGGCTAGTATGCCTCCAGTAAGAGATCGGAGCCCAAATCGGAATCCGATGTCGAATCGAATCGGCATCGGAGACCATCGAAATCGACTCGAATCGAATCGGAAGAATCGAAACGAGCTGAAGGGGGGGGTCTCGGGGCTATCCTGGTGTTCTCTGGAGGCCCTCACGGCCATCATGAGGAGAGAGAGGCAGAGTGGCAAAAAAAGGGCGGGAGGCGACGAGCGAACTGACGAAAACGACGGCGAAGAGAAGGGGCTCCGAGCTCCAGAGCATGGCCGTGCGTGCAAGAGAATGAAGTCACACTGATGCGTCCCTCTCACGGCAACCTTGTCAGTAGAATTGGCGGCGAGCGAGGGGGGGAAGTGCGAAGGAGAAGGCCTTCTCAGAAGGCGGCGGGACTTCTCAGAAGCCCTCGCGCCTTCTGAGAGGTTTTCTGTCTTCGGGGAAGGCTTGGAAAACTTCTCAGAAGGCCGGGGGATTTCCAAGACTTCTGAGAAGGCCCGCCCCTTCTCACTTCCCCCCCTCGCTCGCCGCCGAAAGAAGGCGAAAGATTGGCACGAGCTGACATGAACGCTGAGCCCTGGCAGCCGAGGCGGGCGCCCCAGCGGCCCCCACAGCTGCACGTGGTGGGTGCCATCCTCCGGCCTGGCGGGCAGGATCGGTCAGCGCCGAATCGGGAAGCTGGACTGAATGTGGATCGGGCTGCATCGGCGCGGAGTCGAAATCTAACCGAACTGGCCATGCTGGGATGCACAACGGCGCCGCGCGATCATCGGGGCGCACCAGATCGTCGGAATAAGATCGAAATCGGACCGAACTGGCCGCGCCAGGATGCGCAACGGCGCCACGCAATCATCGGGTCGCACCGGATCGTCGGAATTCCCGAGTCGAATCGGACCCAGGCTGGCCGAAATCGATATCGAATCGGATCGATCAGATCGAACGGAACCTTGGCGGAAGAAGGGGGCGCCTCGTTACCACCGTTGCCCAGGTGAACACCAAAGCATCAATCGCACGTTCGATTGCCCTGCGTCGGCAAACGCCAGCTAAGGGGGGGAGCGGAGGAAAGAAGAACAGGCTGTGTTGCCTCGCTGGGCTTCGCAGTCCGCGAGCCACCTCGCAGCTCGCAAGCTGATGGCAATGCTCCGAATGCCCCAAGGGGGGGGGGAGGGCAATTTCGTCTGGTTCCCTTACGAAGGAAACCGTGCCGGTGGTTCAGACGCGCCGCAACGCGGTGCAGCCGGAACAAACTTCAGAACACCTTCATTCAGCTCACCAGTCCAGCTCTCGAGTGCAAACTCACATCAGAAGATCCTTGTTGACTGCCCGATAGTGCCCTAGCCGAAGCTGGCACAAACGCGGTTTAGACACATGAGTGTCCTCGCGACGCTGGCCAAGGCAACCGTACTGCCTCTGCACCTGTTCAGAATCCGACCGGGGATCCTGGAAGATCGAGCGCGTGATGATATTCCGACAGCGACATGCCATGCGGACCCATGCAGAGCACAACCAGACTAAGGTATGAGGCGGAGCTGTTACTGTCGAGGCATGACGACGATTGGACAAAAAAATCAAGGCGACTCTGGCTCCAGACCTCCGTTAGACGAATGTTCAATCCGCGGGCCCCAGCAATCTCGACCCCTTCCCCGTGGGGCAGTCTTTCGTCCCGAGTCCGTTTTCGATCGCCCTGGAGCCCTAAAACAAACCCTGGACGCAGACACTAGAAAAAAATAAAACATACATGTGCATATATATATATACATACATACATACATACATACATACATACATACATGCATACATACATACATACATGCATACATGCATACATGCATACATGCATACATGCATACATGCATACATGCATGCATGCATACATACATACATACATGCATGCATGCATACATACATACATACATACATACATACATACATGCATACATACATACATACATACATACATACATACATACATACATACACACATACATACATCCATATATACATGCATGCATGCATGCATGCATGCATGCATACATACATGCATACATACATACATACATGCATGCATGCATGCATGCATGCATGCATGCATACATACATACATACATACATTCAGACATACATACATACATATACATATACATACATACATACATACATACATACATACATACATACATACATACATACATACATACATACATACATACATACATACTGACATATCCGCCGACCCTCGCTTGCCGGAGATGCAAAGGAGTGTGAGATGTTTGGCTGTCCTTTCCCCTCCCCTGGCGTCTGAAATCAAACTAGAGGGGGGAGGGGGGGCGTCGGCCAGGGAGGGAGCCCTGGGGGGGGGCTTGTCGGGGAGGGGGGGGGGGCTCGAGCTGTTAAACGTATATCCTTGGCGCCTCCAGGAAATAGTGGCCCTAGAGGGCCCAAACAAAGCGCCAAGACAATCCACGATCCACATAAGCGTGTCGCGACGGTAGAAGGAAACAAATAGTGGACACTCCCCCGCTCCCCAAAACCCAAAGTTGGCCCGCGCAGGGGAAAACTGTGGTCGAAGTGCAGCTCGTTAACCCCACCACCAGCATTGATCATTGGGGGAGGCATTGACAGATGAATGCGGCATGAGTGTGGCTGAAAGGCTACATCCTCTGGACCACGACCCTCCGCAGGATGGTCGTGATGCTGGAGTTTACTCCAGAGTTCGGGTACTTCACATTCACCATCTTCTTCCCCCTGGATGACCTAAGGGAACCCCACGACGACCCACAAGTGCTCCTGGAGGAGCGCCGAGAGAGCCCCGAGCGGCAAAAATCGTGTCGTTCCCGGCAACCCGCTTGGAGAACGCACATTTCTAGCATACTCGTTGGTCTCGTCCCCACGGCGTCCAAGACGGCCCCAAGGGGCCCCCAAGATCGTCCCAAGACGGCCCATGAGGCCCCCAAGAGGGCTCCAGGACGGCCCAAGACGACCCCAAGGCGACCACAAGAGGACCCAAAAACAGCCTCAGGGGCCTCTAAGACGGCCCAGGAGGTCCCCAGAGGCCCAGGAGGGGCAATACAAACTGACATCTCGAGTCCTTCCCGCCGTGATCGCCCCAAGAGCCCCCAGTGACCCCCGGAGCGCCCCCAAGAGGAGACCTCAAAGAGGCAGCCAAGATGCCACCAAGAGCCCTCCACGAGGCCCCTGAGAGGCATTCCAGGAGACCCTCAAATGCACCCCCAGGGCTCCTGATCCACAGGCCAGGCACGGTGGCAAGACCTTGACGAATTGACTGTTATGGGGGTCGGCGGAATGGCGTAAGCCTCGTGAACAAGTCCGCCAGTCCGCGGATGTGTGGGTATGGCTGCTCCAGCCTCCGACTCCTATTGTCCCATCCTCGGTCTGTCCTCCTCGTCATCGTCCTACTCATCCTACTCATCCTACTCATCCTAATCATCCTCGTCCTCCTCCTCCTCCTCCTCCTCCTCCTCCTCCTCCTCCTCCTAGTCCTCCTCCTCCTCCTCCTCCTCCTCCTCGTTCTCCACCTCCTCGTCCTCCTCATCCTCCTCCTCCTCCTCCTCATCCTCATCATCATCATCATCCTCATCATCATCCTCATCATCATCATCATCATCATCATCATCATCATCATCATCATCATCATCAGCATCAGCATCATCATCATCATCATCATCATCATCAGCAGCAGCAGCAGCAGCGTCATCATCAGCAGCATCATCAGCAGCAGCCGCATGATGATCATCATCATCATCATAATCATCATCATCATCAGCAGCAGCAGCATCATCATCAGCAGCATCATCATCGTCATCATCAGCAGCATCATCATCATAAGTATCATCACTAGCACTACCATCATCATCATCATCATCATCATCATCATCATCATCATCATCATCACGAGCATCATCCACACCAGCACGCCGACCTTGGTGCCGGTCAAGCCTGAATCGTCATCGTCGTCGTATCATCATCATCATCATCATCATCATCAGCAGCAGCATCATCATCATCATCAGCATCATCATAGTCTGAATAATCGTTCAAACGATCATCATCGTCATCAGCAGCATCACCATCAGCATCATCATCGTCGTCATCAGCAGCATCGGAATCGTCATCGTCGTCATCATCGCCATCAGCAGCAGCAGCATCGTCATCATCGTCACCACAATAACCATCATCATCATCATCATAATCAGCATCATCATCATCCTCATCATCATCATCCTCATCATCACCATCATCATCGTCATCATCAGCATCATCATCGCAAGCGCGGCTCTCCATTATCATTATCGTCATCCTCAGCAGCAGCATCATGATCATCGTCGTCATCATCAGCATCATCATCAACGTCTTGTTATTCCCCTGATTTTACCTACATCTCTGGTATGGCCGTAAGCACTTCCTCTCAATCCTTGGTTGATGTGACCCTGCGCGGCCGATAGCCAAGGAGCACGCCGATGCCGAACGCGGTGAGGACGCACTCTCCCGCGGCGCAGAACGACCTCGTATCGGGATGGATGGAGTAGCCCAGGACGAGGAGACAGAGGAGGAGCGGGCGGCCGGAGCACGAGTATGAGGAGAAGCAGGAGGAGCAGGAGGATGAGAAGGGTGGAGGAGCAGGACCAGAAGCAGGTGGGCGGGGAGGAGGAGGAGGAGGAGGAGGAGGAGGAGGAGGAGGAGTGGTGGGGCGAGCCTCGGCGGACCTTGGCGGTCCGATGGCCTGGCCCTCGGCGGTCCTCGGCTATCCTATGGCGGTCTTCTGCGCGACAGCCTGGAGGCATCCGGAGGGGCTCCAGGGACCTCCAGGGACATCTGGGGCGGCCAGGCCCTGGGGCGACAGTAAAGCCTGCCTTCTCCTTCTGATCCTCTTCGCCTTCTCCTTCTGATCCTCTTCCTTCCTCCTCCTCCTCCTCCTCCTCCTCCTCCTCCTCCTCCTCCTCCTCCTCCTCCTCCTTCCTCCTTCCTCCTTCCTCCTTCCTCCTTCCTCCTTCCTCCTTCCTCCTTCCTCCTTCCTCCTCCTCCTCCTCCTCCTCTCCTCCTCCTCCTCCTCCTCCTCATCATCATCATCATCCTCCTCCTCCTCCCTTCCTCCTCCTCCTCCTCCCTCCACTCCTCCTCCTCCTCCTCCTCCTCCTCCTCCTCCTCCTCCTCCTCCTCCTCCTCCTCCTCCCTCCTCCTCCTCCTCCTCCCTCCTCCTCCTCCTCCTCTCCTCCTCCTCCTCCTCCTCCTCCTCCTCCTCCTCCTCCTCCTCCTCCTCCTCCTCCTCCTCCTCCTCCTCCTCCTGGTGACCCTGGCAGGAGCGACCTTTGGTGCCGGCTTGCCGATCTCTGCTTCTCGCGATCCGCGCAGCGGCCTGCGTGCTGGGGTTGGGCTCCACGCGCCCCCCGAAAGCCGCGCTCCAAAGCTCACTCCCGCGAAGGCTCCGCCTGGCGTGTGGCCGATGGGCTCGCCACGGGTCCCGCCGAGAGCGCGGGGCCACAGTCCCGGGCCCGCCCTCGCCCGAGACGCCGTGCGATCGGCGCCTCGTTCGCCGGCGGCGGAGGAGCAGAACGACGCCCCGGGGCCAGGAGGCGCCAGGTGCGCGGGTGGCACGGCAGTGCAGCCCAGGGATGCGGAGGTGCCCCGTGCAACCCTGGCACTCCGCCTGCGGAGTTCGCGGGGGCGGCCCGCGTGCCGCGCCTCGTGCCCAGGGTCTCGATCCTCCGAGAGGTCGCGAGGGAGCCAGACTTGCACCATGAAAAACGAGGTGGTAAGCAGGGTGCACTCGATGGTCATACTGAACAGGCTCCACCAACACACTCACATCACCTGGGCTCGTGGGTACAACTTCTGATGATCGTGCACACATGATTGACCAACAGTCTCACACGTGTGTCCAGACTTTGCGTCGACGGGCGGACAGAGAATTTGCTCATGAATGTTCTCAGAGGCCACATCACAACGCATCATGCTGGCAATGAAACATGCCTTACGCGCACATGAGCCATGGCCGCATGTGCAAGAGTGCTGTCTGAAGGGTGCGAACTCACGCCTATAGTTCGAGACGGATCACATTCAGTGCCTCGCTCAAGTTACATAAATTACCCTGCGAAGCCAACACTGTCGGGGGGATCCAGTTGGAACGGCCCCTCGGCTACGAATGAGGTCGAAGCGGAAGGAGTCCTGGCGATTACATCGTTTAGCGCTGAAGGGAATGGCAGGAGGCGAATGATGGGAAAGCATGAAATCCTGCCTGGTGCCTGCTTGGGTTTGCAGGATTGCCGAACGCACGAACGCACTAAGATTTGCACTGGAAACCAACAAATCTTCACCTGCACCACGCTGACGCTGGAAGCACAGGGAAGCCAATGTCAGATAGGGGCCTCTTCTTGATGTCGGCTCGTCTGACCCAGCAGGACACGCGTCGCTTGTCCGCCAAGCGCCAATCCAAAGCAACCTCGCAAGGGCGAAGACACAATCAGGACGAGTTGATTCATGACGCATGCCCGATGACGATGTATGGCAAGATGGCATGGGAGGACTGCCCACAAAGATGAAACACTGACATGTTGTCACTACCGAGGCTCAAAGAGTGGACGCGACACTGTTATTGGCCTGGTAGCAACAGCAAAATGCACCACAGCTACGACGGCTGGTGCGATGCGAATCGCAGAGCGGTCGCAGGCCCTCAGCGCAGTCTTCGCGGTATAGTCCTCCACCGCGTTTGCAGTGGTTGATG